GATTTCCAAAGATCCCATGCCTTGACAGGATCAGTTACTAATGATATTGACTGCCAAGCAGCTAGGTCTATATCACGCTTAAAGTTTTCGATATTGAAATGCTTATAGTAGCGATTTTCTAGTATTTTGGGTTTTGATCTGCATCGGTCGCAATGTTTTCTTGAAGCATATATTAGACTATGGTCACTTATCCCAATATGTTTAACTCCTGATATGGAAAATTTAATTGGTTCATTTGTGAGGAGAAGATCAATTAGTGTGGACGAACTACTAGTGATACGCGTTGGTTCCTGGATAAGTTGACTATACTGGTACAATTCACACAAATCAAGTAAATGTTTTGTATTATTATAGACATTGTTGGCTGCAACATTGCAATTTAGGTCACCAACAATAGTCGATTCGATGTTCAATGACTCGATTTTTTCAAGAATTACATGAAATTTGTCAAAAAGTTCGACAGGTGAATTAGGTGGCCTATACCATGTTGATATAAGAAAAGGTTTAATTTTAGGTTTGGTTATTTCAATACACAGAAACTCAAGGCCATCGTCTTTAAGATCGTCACGGATTTTATACTCAATTGTACTTCGAATATATATTGCAATAAAGAGGAAAGCAAAGTTATTTTCATGCGAGAATTTGAAATCAGTTTATTTCAAACTCAATGTTTACCGATAATTCGATAAAAGGCCGTTTAGTTTTAAGAAGATTTTAAGGTGGCTCGATATAGTTATCACAAAAACCCTGCTCAAATATCGCGAACTCAAAACCGGTTGACCATTTTTACGCGCAGGTCGCGGAAATTGATTAACAAAATGAAAGAACTTCCAAAATGACTTGACGTGAGCAGTTGCTCGCGCCATCTCACGCCATTGCGCGTGTTCTATAGCGTTTTCTGTCAATTGCTGACGTCATTAGAATTTTTCATTTTAGAAAAACAATGCGCTATATCTCTTTATTTTGTCTGGTGACCTATGTTCAAATTTTGCATGCTGTATTGCACCGCTAAAAATTTTCATTATACAAAAAATAAAAAAAATTCTGTAATGCCAAAAAAATGTTACCGAAGAATATGACATTTTCGCATTTTCCAAAAAAATGGCATTACAGAAATTTTTTATATTTTGCTAATTGTTAGCTTTTCGTCCAAGTAAAATAATGCACGAAAAAAAAATTGGGGGTCACCATGCTTTTTTTCCAACTATACGAGACGATAGGCCATTTTGGAGTCAATTTCGTACACGTATGTCGTCATAGCAACGAACTATCTGTTACTAAAACGAATATAATTTGAAAGTAGAGTTATCAAAATATATAAAAAACCCAATATCTGCTAAATAAATCCTAAAAATGCGTAGTTTGAACATGTCAAAAGTGTTAAACACCTGAATTTTTGAAAACTGTATCGAGCCACCTTAAAACGTTTTACTTTTGCGAAGCGTTTGTGGTTGAATTTTACATTAAATTGAAGCTTATATTACGTATAATAACATACATAGCATATGTATATATATGTTTGGGAAATTGATAATTTTGTTATTAAAAGTGATATTTTGGGGGGATTTTTCAATTTTAAAACTATTCTTAAAATTATCGTGTTACCTTGACAACTGTTTCAATTCTTCAAATTCAGAAAACATAATGTTTTGTCAGTAAGGCGAGGGTTTCTGCATGCATGTATTTTCTAGTTATTCAGGAAAATCAACATGACAAGTTGTGTTTTTCAGAAGTTCCCTGAGAAAACTATAGAAATACAAAAGATTATACAATAATAACATGCATGCAGGTTATACGCGATATGTGTATTTATATACAAGAAAAGTTTTAAAATATAGAACTAAGATAATTGTATATTACAAAGAAGAGTTGGTTGCAAAATGCGTTCGATTATATTAATACTGTGGAGATTTAAGAAGTGCATTATGAAAACTAGCTAGATGGTTAGTTGATTTAATGTTTTTGTCCAAATTATTATTATACTCCTTACAAGCTTGGTATAAAAGTTTCTGCTTTCCCCAATTGGTATTAAGTTTGTTGTTTTGTTGAGATGAATGTGATCTCTTGATTGTCTCGTGTTATACAGGTGGTTGACTTTAGGTAGGTGGAAGTCATAATCTATCAGGTTATTATTTAATTTGAAAATGATCAGCATTCGATGTAAATAGCGCCGGTGGATAAGTGGGTGCCAATGTAGTTTTGAGAGAGCTTCAGTGGAGGAGGATAGGTAAGGAGCATCAAGAATCGTCTTTGCAGCCTTGTTCTGAAGGATTTGTAGTTGATCCATGAGGGTGGTGTTGTTTTTATCACCCATAATGTCAGCGTAGTTGAATAATGGGAGGATGAGAGAATTGTATATTGTAAGTCGAGCTTTTAATGGGATGAAGACTTAACTCTTCTAAGCAATCCAATACGTTGGTTGATTTTTATCGATACGTTACTTAAGTGATCGGACCAAGTGAGATTCTCTGAAAAGGTGATTCCTAGATATTTAAAAGTTTGTTCTCGAGCAAGTTGTTGGTCGTTAACGTATATGGAGATATTGGTGAATGTTTTTAAGCGACGGTTACCGCCAAAAAGGAGGAACTGAATTGTGCACAGTTTAGTGTTAGCAAATTTTTATCACGCCATTTACAGATTGAACGAAGATCTTCATTAGCGCATTGCTCAATGTCTTTGACCGAATTAGTGGAATAATTTAGGAGAGTGTCATCAGCGTAGAGTATTATTTTGCAGTGTTTCACAATATGCTGGGCATGTCATTTATGTAAATAATGAAAAGTAAAGGACCCAATATACTACCTTGCGGAACACCAACTGACACAGGTAATGAGCTGGATAACGCATTGTTAATAGACGTTTTCTGTTGACGATTGGTAAGGTACGACTCAAACCAATTTAACGAGTTATTATCCAAGCCAAATGATTTTAATTTTCGCAACAAAATAGTGTGGTCATGCAACCGTGTCGAATGCCTTGCTAAAATCCAGAAAAGCAGAGGCTGTGACAAGACCGTTGTCAACATTTTCAAGAATAGTATCGGTGAAGAATGCCAATGCGTTACTCGTAGATAACTTAGGTCTAAAGCCAAATTGAGATTGAAAGGATTTTGTTTTCAGATAAATACTGTAAATCTGCGTGCGAACGAAAAGTTCCAAAATTTTGCTCAGGATTGGCAGAACAGTTATGGGTCTGTAGTTTGCCATCACCAGACTTGAATATTGGTGTTAGTTTTCCGTCTTTCCAGATCTGGGGGAAGATAGAAGATTTTAGTGATTGATTAAATATGTCTGTTAGGGTTGGGGCGATAATTGCTGCAGCATCTTTCAGTAGACTGGCGCTGATACCATCGAGACCGGTAGATTTATTAGTTTTAAGAGTTGATAGTTGTTTGAGTTTGTGCCTTCTTCAGATGATAGTCTCGATCTTGCATCGCTCGACTTAATTCAGCCGTCATCCATGGAATGCTAATTCCCTTAATTAATTAACTTTCATTTTCTTCATTGGCGCGTGCATGTCTGCTATGTCAGTAAAACATTGACACCAGCTGTTGAGTGCTGTCAACACTGCCCAGAGGGGTGCAATTTTCCGTGGGGTCCAAGTTAAAAGGTGGCCCAAATAAAAAATTACAGTGAATTCATAGATGTAACTGTCAACTAGACTTGCAGAATGCAGGATTTGGCCATTTCTGGGACTTCAGATTTTAAAATGTTCCCGGGGAGCCCCCCAATCATAGTATTAGAAGATGTAATCATGAGGGGCCCAATTATAAAGTCAAATTTTGCCCTGGGCCCTCTAATTTCCTTGGGTGACCCTAGGTACTGTGCAGTGCATGTTGGTTTGGCGAAGGTCTTCCATTGTGAGCTAAGTCCTCGGAACCAGTGAAGTGTGACTTCACTGTGTGTCCAACAAACTACGCGCTCTATTTATTTGGAAGCTGATAATGACTCTGCAACAAATTTTAATAACCGCGAATTGATCACAGCGGCAAGCAGTTCAAGTCTGGGTAACGACACGACCTTCGCAGGGGCCACTCTGGTTTTCGACATGACAAGATGGGTGTCAACATCACCATTCTGTTGGATTGCTCTGACGTTCGCCTTTGGTGAAGCATCTCCAAACCCATGCAGCTCTACACTTGTACCAGACTTTCCATTCTGCATAAAACAACGGGGAATACTAATTTCGTTTATCTTAGGCAACTCAGTCTTCCATGCATTCCATTGTTGTAGAATGTCCTCAGGCAATTGTTCATCCCATTGTAGACCTCTGTTCTACAGCTGTTGGAACACCATCTTAGATCTGATGGTGTAAGGGGATAGTAAGCCCATCGGATCAAATATTTTGGATGCGTCACTCAGCATGTTCCTCTTGGTCTCGTATTCGTGCAAGAGGAACTGATTCTGCGGGATGTGGAATTCGAAGCAGTCCGTTAAAGTGTTCCAGCGGATTTCCAATGCTTTAAGTGGCTCCATCTTACGGAAATCAATCAACGCGTTAGATGCTCTATCTTTCTCTTCAACGTGACTGAGGACGTCCTCCGTATTACTGGACCACTTTGTCAAATTAAACGCAGCACGATGCATTAACTCTGTCAGTGATTTTTGCATCTTTACAGCTTCTTCTTCGTCGTCTGCTCCTGTCAGACAATCATCAACATACATATCATCCATGACCCTCTTTGCAGCTTCAGGAAACTCTAACACAAACCTTTCCGCATGATTCTGAACTGCAGCTATTGCGAGGAATGGGCTGCCGTTGACTCCGTACGCAACTCGCGTCATTCGGAATATCGTTGGGGAACCATCTCTTTGCATATCTTTCCAGACATAGCGATGAACATCTCGATCCTTTTCTGCAAGCTTTTAATATCTGAAGGAACATTTTCTCAATATCAGCCATCAGGCTACAGTGCGGGACCAGGTAAAACACAATCATTAAGCAAAACACTGTCCTCTTCACGAGCTGAGGCATCAAATACAACACGACATTTAGTTGTTGTCTTGTCATCACGAAAAACAGCATGATGTGGCAGATATCGTACCAACTTAATATCATTGTCATGTGCTTTGGTATCTTTGACTTCTTCAGCAAATCCTTTCTCGTGATATTGGTTGATTGAGCTCTTGTAAGCTTCAGCCCTTATCGGATTTCTGAGCAGTTGCTTTTCTAGTCGCTTCACAGCCTGGTTGTAATTATCACAAAGCTCAGGATAATTTTCTCTCCATGGTAAAGATACTTCGTACCGTTGGCCATCAAATTTTAATTCTCTTTTAAACTGGCAAACAGCATCGTTCTCTTCGAGCGATAGTTTAGTTCCCTCATCAACAATACCGTTTGCATCTAACTCCCAAAAGCTCTTAAGAATGTTCTTGACAGGATCGGGACGAACACAGGTAAACATTTCAGTGGTGTTACTAGTGGATCGACCAGTTAAAGGTCCTGATACAATTCAACCAAGCGTGGAATTTACAGTTGTGAGTGTGTCTGATTTTGAACCTTTTATGCATTCACCATTCACAAATGAGAAGTAATAATCTGCACCTATCAGAATGTCCACTTCCGCCGAACCTCTCGGGTAAACGTCAGTGAATATAAGATTAGCAAGATGTGGATTTGCTTCCATGTTCAAGGCGATTGGCTCCAAGGGTTGACAAATCGTGTCGACAGTGAGAGCTTTTATCTCAACAGGGCAGGAAACTAAACTTCGTGCTGGGCCGAGTGATATATTGACCCTTTTCATCCTCTTTGTTTGGGTTTTAGTTTCGCCAAATGTTGACACATGGAAAGTCTCTGTAGGACCGCTAAGATCAAGTCTATCAGCCAACTTCTTTGTGATGTAGGATCTTTGGCTCCCAGAATCCAGCAACACTCGGACGGGTACGGTTTGGTCATCCGCAACCAAATTTGCCTTCGTAGTCTGAAGCAACACCTGTGTGGATTCATCTCGTTTGGATGCAGCAAAGCTGTTATATGTACCCACTGCTGATTTCGAGCGATGCAATAGTCGATGATGGCTTCTTTGCAGTCTTCGACCCCACACTTCGGTTGTCGGCACACTTGTGAATAGTGGTTGCTATTGGTAGATCTAAGACAATTGAAACACAGCCCAGCTTCTTTGACTTGCCTCCATCTCTCTTCCACAGTTTGCGCATTAAACCTTGGGCATTCTGGAATACCATGTCCAACGGTCTTACATAAATCACATGTCTTGGTAGTGTTCATTCCTTGGCTGACCTCAGTTAAAAGGGCAGCTGCTGTAGAGAACAGGGATTCTTCTAATCTCTCAGCGGACTTATTTAGTTTTTTTACTCTGAGAAGTATTGGCTTGTTTCATTCCCCCTTTTGGAGAAACACCATTATTCCCCTTTGCACTTCTTTGTCCAGCCTCTTTTGAGACCACCTGCTTATTCAGTCAGCTTCCGAATTAGAAGTGGTCCTGCGGGTCGCAATGTGAAAAGTTGAATCTGATAGTTCGTTGGTGATTGATTTTTTCTATGTACATATATAGTGTATTTGTCTAACATTTAGGGATCGCAGTAATTGGCGCAAGCTGTTGCGATTGCCCTGCCAGTTTTTGTGTTAAAGTTAATTGTTTGAATCTAGCAAAGTTAATAAATTAAATTAAAATTAAATTAAGTTAAATTAAATTAAATTAATTATTTAGGAATTTAAAAAACAAGTCTAAATCAACTTTCTCATCATCCATATCAGATATCTCCAATTCCCATTTCTCACATATCTCAGGAGGGAGTTTCATTTCGAATATTGGGAGGAGTATAAAGGCATGATTTTTTGGGCATTCACTCAATCCTTCTAGTGCTCTGATTCTATTCTTTAGAGTGTCATGTAAATCGCGGAGTGATGCTGCCTAGGTTCAAATTTTATAATGTTTTTATAGGTTGAAAATTTAACGGAGTGACGATGCCTAGGTTCAAATTTTATAATTGACTTAAGGTGGCTCCCTACAGTTTTCTAACTTTTTAAGTATTTTAGGTAATCTTCGTTTTCAACCAAATTTATATTGAACACACTTAAGACAGGGCAATATAATCATTTCCAGGAAAGTTCAGAAGTCTTCTGCTGTCGATATATAAACAAATAGGAACAGTGTCAGTGTTGCCATGGCAACCATGGCGTTTCATCTTTTGCAATTTTATTGTCTAATTTTACAATCAAACGGCAATATCTTTTTTTCCTTCGGTCAATTTTTCTGAATTCTTTTTTAAAGATTTATGGTTGAAAGACGAATGACATATTAAAATTTGAAGGGATAGTTATAAGGCAGGTTTTGGGATATTCATGAATAACGACTACAGAAAATCTGTCTTATAGAATTTCTTGAAATTTTGATATGTTTGGCGAATCGTGATGCTTAGCAAACGTGCAAAGTTTAAAAAATTTTCACCGAAGGAAACGCGAGAAAAATAGTCCTAAATCCAGTTGAAGCTGTTGACGTGACAAAATATCGATTCGACATGACCACTATTTGCACATGTGTGTAAATTATAATGCGTGAGGAACACGAAACATTTTTCGCAATTTTCACGTTGACTTTGGTACGCTTCCAAGATGGCGGAAGGTACTCAAAGCTCGGGCTCCGTGTCTATCACAAATTCTGATTGTAAAAACGACAAAATCGAAAAGAATATAGCAACATCAGTTTTTTTTATTTAACAATGAAGGTAATTTTGCGTGGAAAGGCGATCTACCTACTCTAAAAGTCTTCGTAGACGGCATAACCAAGCATCTCAAATGTAAAGATGGAAAATGGTCGTCGCCTCGCGAGGAGGATAGGAGGAAAAAATGTTCAAATGCGCCAAATTTACCTTGAAATGGTTTGGCAAGAAGAAAGAAAAATTGGTTATCATGAAAGATAACGAAGAAAAGTCTCTACAAAGCACACTAGAGACATGTGCTCAAACGAAAGGCGTTGAAAATCAACAAGAAACGACAAAGCACGTGGCCGACGCCATTGAGTCACAACAACAAAACTCGCAACTAAGCGATACAAATCTCCCTGCTTCAGCTGCATCGCCTGCATGTGAAAATTGTTCGGATTATGAACACCAGATTGCGAACATATTGACATTGCTAGCTGAAATAAACACTAAACAGCAAGAAGATTCCCAGCAAAACATATCGGTGTTAGCAAAATGTAAAAATACAATATCGGCCTTGTTGGAACAAAACATTAAAATGGCGGCCGAAATTGACTCATTAAAATCGACTGTCACTGAAGTTAGTTGCGAAAATAAGAGCATAAAGTATGTTCTCGACATGAAACAAAGTGAGTGGACAGAAGTCAAAGAAACGAAGTCAAAGAAAGAAACCAAAACGACATCTACCGGCACAGACACAAGAACATTAATAAGTAACCCCTATGCTGTGCTTGAAGTAGAAGACTTGCCTGACGTGGAAGAATTAACTACCAGCAAATTCGCAAAAAGAAAGAGTGGTCAGACAAAAGATCCCTTAATCAGTTCTGATTCTTCTAAAAGCAAAAGTTTAAAATCAAAGGCTACAGCTGGCAGTGCACCAAATAAAGTCAAGAAGTCCAACCATGAGAAAACAGTCTTGGTGATAGGAGATTCCATGGTCAAGAATATTGATGCATGCAAAATTGGAAGAGCTGCTCGAAGTAAAGCTATCACACATTCATACAGTGGAGCCACAGTGGACCAGCTTACCGAGAAATTTGAAAACCACCAATCAGAGCAAGAGTTCAGCACCGTCATCATCCATGTTGGCACAAATGACCTAGTACGTGATGAACCTAAAAAGGTAGCAGCCAACCTGGACAACCTCATCAACAAAGTCAAGGTCCACACCGAGAAAATTGCAGTTTCGGGTACAATCAAGCGGTATGTGATGGTAAGCTAAACAATAGAAAAATTGAGCAATATAATAATTTAGTTCATGGTTTATGTTCTAAACATAAGATTACTTTTATTGATAATAGTTGCATAAACAAACCTTTATTAAACAGATCAAAACTACATTTAAATCCTGAAGGTGATAAAGCCTTAGGAGGTGCTTTCTGCACCTACTTGAAGTCTGATAGAATTAGAAACACCAACATGGCCTCAAGTCGTAATGACAGCCATTTTTTTCGCCAAAGTCATGGGCACCAGAAAGACTGGACAATGTATCTGGCCCATGTAAAGCAAGTGATGAAACAGAAAGCAGATTAGATATAACAAGGGGCAATGTGAGCAGCAATTTTATGAGAACCCTTAGCTCAATCCCGAATGAAAGAGGTTTTAAAATGGCTTTTCTGAATATTGTTAGTTTACATAAAAAAAAATAGATGAAATTAATTTTTCAATGTCAAAAAAGTTCATTGATCTGATTGCATTTAATGAGACACGATTTGATGCAAATATAACAGATAATATGATTAACCTTGATGGTTATACTGAATTATTACTTTCATTGTTTTTTGATAAGTAAGCCCGTGCAAGGTCTATAACCTCATCCACGCAATTTAAATAATTTATCCATGCTCTAGCCTCATCCTCAACTTCATGTTCAGAAAGAGAAGCAATAAGTTCAGCTCGAATGTCAACATACTGTTCTCTGTAATGATTTAATTTTGAGAATCGATTTTCCATTTTAACAGTCTGGGCTCTTATTTAGCTGATTTATTGATTCACTAACAGTTTCAATGTCAAGTTTAAGTAATTTTTCCTTTCTCCTAATTAGGTCTAAAACATGGTTATTAGTGCATACCGCCTTTTCACTTCCGGTCGCTATTATTTCTTCGACATCTGAAGTTTTCTCATCATCAGCTGCTTCCTTTGCTAAAACTGCGGCAAGTTTTCGTTCCAAATTGTCTCTTTTTCCTTTCGTAGATAATCCTCGAAGTTTAAGTTCATATTTAATCTTCTGTACACTAAAATCGCTTAGGTCAGCCATAATTCAAATACATAAATCCAGTTATATGTCTTAAATCATTAATACATTATCGAATCTTGTTTACCATCGAGAATGGGGTCGGCTATTTTGCGAGCTGGGAGTTGCGAATTGCGAGCTGCGAGTTGCGAGTCGCTAGCCTCGTTTTACAATTACAATTACAATTTATTCAAAAACCGATCTTGCAGCCAAGAAGCTGAATTACAACGGTTACATTTTACAAAAGAAAGGTTTAAGTTAATTATACTATCTATTACTGCTTAAAAATACTAAACATAATAAAATAATTGTAACTTTAAGTTAATGGGACTTTCTATTTCAATTAATTATACTATCTATTAATGTATTTAAGAATATATAATTACAGTTAAAACTAACAGTTATTTTCGAAATATATGAAATCCTCAGTGACTGCTGCTTTAATTATTAGAACTAGCAGCAATTATAAAAGACTTTTAAATCGTTCAGTCTTACATTTGGGAATTTTAAAAGTTCTCGAAGTTCTCAGGGAATACGCTACGTCAGTATTCGGATCTGGTAGGAGTGGGTGCAATTTGTGATTTTTATCTTCCATTCTTTCTTTGAAGAGTTTGTCGCACGCAACTTGACGTCTCTCTTCAAGAGTTAGAAGCTTAGAATGGGAGAGCGCTTCGGCATATGATTTGGTGGGAAATATGATTTTTATGGCTCGTCGCTGGATTCGTTCAATGTCCTTACACAGATATATGGGAATTCTATAATGAAAGACAGGAGATGCGTATTCGACAACTGGTCGGATACAAGTGCAGTGGAAACACATCGTCTCAGTAGTAGATACTTTGGCACGTTTCAATTGTCGCATCTCTTTACATTTGTTCTCGTTGAGAGTAAATTTCAGGGTGTTGGATTGGTTTTGGATATCATCGACCTCAGATTGAATACTACTTTCCCTCCTCTGGGTATTACTTCGGCTAAAGTCCTATCGTCTACGTATTTCCAGAGGTTGTTACTGACTGTGTTGAGGTCATTGATCATAAGAATGTATAACCAAGGACCGAGTTTGGTTCCCTGGGGTACACCTGCCGGGACTAGGGACCATTCTGAATAGCAGTCATTGGCCAACTTTACTCTTTGTTGACGATTTGTCAAAAAATCTCTTACCTAATTTATAACACTCGGCGGAACGTCCAGAGAGTGGAGCTTTACCATAAGTAACTGATCATCGATGAGATCAAATGCTTTCCTAAAGTCCAATAGAACATAGTCTAACTAAGGCCCCGTTGCCATCAGTGGCTTTAGCAACATTGTGGACTATGCTAATAAGAGCTTGCGTGGTAGATGATTTCGGCACTGTTCCATATTGGTTAGGATCCACCACTTTGAAAATCACCGGTTTAATGAACTGTTCAACTACCACTTCCTCGGCTAGTTTTGAGACTATTGGTGTTAACGAAACGGGCCTTAAATCCTTGTTTACAGTTCGTACAGGCTTCTGTTTTGGAATGGGAATTACATCTGCGAACTTCCAAGCAGCGGGTAAACGATTTTCGAGATAAGAAGAATTGAGAATCTTGCAAACGGGACTTGTTAGTACATCGGCATTCTCTTTGAGAAGCCAACCAGGAATAGTGTCTGGGCAATGAGCCTTCGTAGGTACTATACTGGATAATTTCTCGAAAATATACGATTCTGTGGTGGTAATTGTAGATGGTAATTGGTTACTGGTGCCGGACACGTTTAAGGCTTGGGAGTGGTCAGAATTTAGAGGTTGGAACATGTTCATTGGTTCTAGGAAGGTTTGATTTATGGTATTCGCCAAGTGTGAAAAAGATGCGTTGCCTTCGTTGGTTTCATTAGTTTCATCACCAGTGGGTGACAGGCTTTGAAGATGTCGGAGATCATACTTGTGGTTGACTGGATCCATTCCACACAGGTACTTAACAGATTTCCACCACTGTTTGGGATCAGAGGCTTTAAGTTGACTGACTTTTGAGTCATAGTATTTACTCCGGCATTGTTTTCGTTCCCTATTGACGCGGTTACGAAGACTTTTAAATAACTGGTCATGTCCTTTCGCTAATGCTTTTTGACGTTGCTCAATTAAAGATTTCAAATGTTTGGTCATCCACGGTGGGTCATCGAGCCGTTTCTTTATAGTTTTTGTGGGAAGGAGAATGTCCATCCCAAACCGAATAATTGATTCAAAAGCAGACCATTTTTCATCACATGACGAAAGGGAATCAAGGATTGACCAGTCAAATTCAGTAATGAAGGTGCTGATAGCTGCTTTGTTTCTCGGGTGTTGATTGCGAACTTGGGAAATATCATATTTTGTTTTTCCTGCAACCTTGTGATTAAGGGGTCGAAAGGATAGTAAAATGGTCGGAGAGACCAAAAGGTGGAAGTTTAACTGGCGGTAGGTAAAATTTAGCCAAGTTAGTTAGAATTAAATCAAGGGTTCTCCTTCCACGAGTCGGGAATTTAACCAATTGTTTTAGACTGAAGTGGTTATTTAGACGATGACAATTAAGATTATTAAAGTCTCCAAGTAGAATAAGACCACAATTGTAATAAGTTGATTCGATAAGGGACAATTGTTCAGTTAGGAAGTCAATCATATTTCTATCATTTGCTGAGGGTGGATGGTAAATTGAACCAATGATAATGCAAGATAGGCCCCTCGGCAATTTGTGAGGACGAGCTTTAACCCACAAGACCTGGAATTGATCATTATGGTATTGACTGAGAATTTCGAATGGGATTGACTCCTTTACATAAAGGCACACTCCTCCATGTTGGCCAATTAGGCGATCTCTTCTTACAACATTATATCCCGGAATCTGGATGATGTTATCATGTACAAGGTCAGTCAGCCACGTCTCAGTAAAGCACGCGAGATCGGCGTCGGTTTGTAACACTGAGTGACGGACTTCATCGATCTTGGGTGCCAAAGACATTGTATTTGATAGCATAAGACTTGGAACAGGTTCGCTAATATTCGGAATAGACGATTGTTCAGCTGAGACATATTCAGCAGAATGTAGGTTTGCTAGGGACTCGTTTGTCACATGAATATTTGAGTGGTTTGAACCTAGGTCAACATTATTTAGCGTATTATTACGGTGAATTTTATTGTTTAATACACTGGAGGTCTGGTTGTTTGTATCGACATCAGTGGAGGTGGATACGGGAGCGGCCGAAGAGGAGGGTAAAACATTGGAAACTTCATCGGGGTAAAAAATGTGGTTGATAGGAAAGGGGAGTTTGGTTATGAACATAGGGGGGCGCAACATATGGGGGCGAGTAGGCACCAATAGGGATTTGTTGGAATTGAGAGCGGCTCCTTGGGGGTTGAACCTCATTGTGCAAGAAGTCGCACCTAGAACCCTTCAAACAATATCCCCTCTTTCTTAGGAAGGGGCACGGAACCAAATTCTTGGGCTGCAGTTGAGATAAACGATTAGCCGACGGGACACCATTCTCATGTTGCAAAACTTTTCTAGGTAAACTTGAATTACCGTTTGGCCTGTCAAGAAAGCTATTGTCTGCCATACTATCTCTACCATTGTTATGCCGCAACAGGGGTTTATCAGTGATTGTTAAATCGACAGTGTTAAGGTTAGGCAATTTAACATTAATCAATTGTTCGCAGTCGTGAGACTTGTCACTCGGGTTAACAGCGTGTAATGGCCCTTGGGGGCTATTGTTTCCGTCGCTATGTGTATTGTCACTCGGGTTAACCGCATGTAATGACCCTTGGGGGCTATTGTTTCCGCCACTATGCGTATTGTGGATTACCTCTTCACGCATCAAAAATTCCATAGAAAATAATTTAGATTTGAGAACCATATTTTCATCATTAATTTTGCAAATTAACTTATCTTGGCGTCGAATAACAACCTCCAAATCATTTTGTTTTGCTTTTAAAGTTTTAATTTCTAACTTGATCTCCTCTAAGGGAGAGGCGCTGACAAGTCGAGACTCTAAAACTGCCATATCAAGTTTTATTCCCTCCAATTCTGCTTTGGTAACGTTGCTACCACAAGTACAATTACAACAACATACCTTGAAACCATTGAGGCGCTCATTCTTGTTTGCACAAACTTTTGCAGTCGATTTTACCGCTAGTTCTTTAGATTTTAGATCGTTATCTTGGTTTTAAAATTTTAGATCGTTATATGGTTTTAAAAATAGCTCTGTCAAAGCGACAATTAAGCCGGTTAAAGACGAGCAAGTTTTCTTTAAGAATCTTTAAAACCCGGAATGAGAAAAGCCGGAATCTTTAAAACCCGGAATTATTACTGTACTTACTGCAATAATTTATTAATTTAATAAAGCCAAGTTTTGGCGGGATTCCTAAACTCCTTTGCGCGTCGTGTCAGATCCTCGAACAAACAAGTAAGCAGTAAAGTCATAGAATAAGAAATGAATAGAAGGGCAACTCACGTGTACAACGCGTAACCAATTTTCAGTGCGCACGCGCGGGATTCTCAAGCTCGCAGCCAGTAAAAGCCAGTCAGTGCAATAGGGATTTGTATTACGAAATGTACATTTTGATCACAAAATCGACTATTTTTCGGAAACAAAGGATTGGAATATCAAACTACTACAACTGCCTGCAGAGGCAATGTAAGCTTAAATTATTATTGTGGTTAGCATAGAAAGAAACGAATATTTAGGGAGAAATTTGATATTGTTGTGTGAGCTACAGTCCGAATCTGAATGAAATGCTGACAGTCGATCGCGTATACTGTGTTATTTATTTCGATTTTCGAGGTTTATGTCAAATCTTATCAGTACCGGTTTTGGATTGCATCAAATTTTATTTAAAAAAGTATAAATTTCAAAGTCACGAGCAATTAATCAAATTTATTTCGTGCGGGAAGTTGTCTGTCTGTGTCTGACATGTTGAACTACAAATACAAACAATATCAGAAAATGATATTTATTTATGTAATTAAAATATCATGATTATGAATTAACATTCATTCCTATTACTACAATATTACTTCGAAGACATCGAATTTTTCCAATAAATAAACCAAACTATCATATGTTAATATACTGTACTTTATACTTTGTAAGTAAACAACATGTATTAATACGTTTAAATTTCGCATTTAGCAATTCTTTAACAGCTCATAACCAACAGAAATGTATTCACCAACCTTCAAATTACAACCAGCAGCCGTGGTTTGTAATTTGAATCGTTCGTTTGCGAAAAATAGTCTATTTATTCAGCCAAATGGCCATTCTGCAATACAAATCTCTAATAAATTGACTGGCTTTACTGGCTGCGAGTAATTAGAGCGGGCAATTTCCGGTATGCGCGAGGCGACATGCGCGGCCTCAAAAACTTCAAAGGTTCCGACGCGAGTTGCCCTTCTATTCATTTCTTATTCTATTGTAAAGTAAAGAACCTCAAAAAATTTTGTGCAAGGCTGATATTCTATTATTCTGGAGGAAACACAGTGGGTTAGTTTTTACGGCGAACACTATTATCAATACTGTTGAATTGAAGCTCGATTTTTGATATACGTCTGGCAGTACCACATCATTTTCAAAATACTAGGCCGTTTCAATTTTAACAAGACGCTCTATGGAGCGTTAACTCGCTGGGGCTATACAACGGACGCACATTACTGTTAAGATCTAAATGCTGATTTCCACTGTTGCGTTTTTCGTACGCACGTACACGCACGCAAAATTTTGAATCCTTTTATTTTTAAATATTTTACAAATAAGTTAACAAATGCATACTAAAACTTGCGGAACAGTAAATTCTGTTGCTTTATTTATTTGGTTATTTTATAAGTAAACGGAATCCGCGTTTTATCCTCATTTGCGGAATCCGCTCCGAAATCCGCGTTTTATCCCAATCAGGGCGCTATAAAACACTGTGTTTTATAGCGCCCTGATCCCAATCCAATAAAACTTCCGGCGTTTATGCCCACAAGTAAAGTTATATTTTATAGTATGCAGTATGTAAGCTAAATATTTCTTCTGTCGGCCGCCAGTTTAAAACGTTCAAAATAAAATATTTGGGGGCTTTCGGGCTCAAAATATTATCAAAATGAAGAGAGAAGTGAGACGAATCCACTGGTATACGGCCGAAAAAGAGAAAACCAATGATGCCAAAGTTATCAAGGATCAAACGTATTGCATTTTTTATAATTTGAGCGATTTCTCAACAAATAATACACTTCGCTTGGCTTGCAAATACAAAGGCCATAAATCGCTAGAATACTGTTGTCAGTTGTTTAGTAATACAGTTGACATCCGTAAGTACAATTTCTCATTCGTAAATACAATTTCTTGCGCTGAATCGAACGGTGGTATTTTTATCCTTGTTGCGCCATTTATAGGCAATACAAATACAATACAAGGTCGCACCATGGATTGTAAAATGACAATGTCAACAATACAATTTCGCTTGATTTTCAAAGGCCATAAATCGCTAGAATACTGGTGTTTAGTAACAGATTTGGCATCCGTAAGTACAATTTCTTACGCTGAATCGAACGGTGGTATTTTTTATCCTTATTGCGCCATTAACAGGCATTACAAAAACAATATCATATTTCACACTGAGTACACTTGAACACTACAGTTTTCACGGACTGTTGTTCGATAATTTTTATATTGATATGACACCAATATGCTTCTCATAAAGTAGTTATTTGTTAAAACTACGTTGTGCAGTTTAAGTTATAACCATTTACCTTGAAATTGTCTTTGGCTCGTTTATATTCAGATTCAGTATTCAGATTCCCTGGTCGTGCACGGGAATTCGAATTTTCAGAGTCGTTCACCAAGAAATACGCATTAAATAAACTAGCAAGAATGTCCAGAGTTAGACACAATGCAAAATGCATAGGAAACAGGTACAATTGGTTCAACATTTTCACGAAATTGTTTGAAACATTTTGCCCGCTGAGGCCCCACTCCACGAAACACGAAAGGCCCCGCCATTTTGAAAAGGATCAAGCAGCTCATTAATATTCTATTTTGTGGCTGTCGACGATTGGAGATTGCCGATCCAAGAACAGAGCCGAAACCTATACTCGTCTGGGGCACAGGTGCCCCAGCGAGTAATGAATGAAATATGAAATATAATGAATGAAATATAATGAATGAAATATGAATGAAATTGAAATATAATGAATGAATAATATTCATCATTCAGTTACGATTCCCGCCTTGTTCAAGAAATCCATGGCTACCAGAAATTCATGGCCACCAGAAATTCATGGCCACCAGAAATTCATGGCTACCAGAAATTCATGGCTACCAGAAATTCATGGCTACCAGAAATTCATGGCCACCAGAAATTCATGGCCACCAGAAATCCATGGCTACCAGAAATTCATGGCCACCAGAAATTCATGGCCACCAGAAATTCATGGCTACCAGAAATTCATGGCCACCAGAGATTCATGGCCACCAGAAATTCATGGCTACCAGAAATTCATGGCACCAGAAATCCATGGCTACCAGAAATTCATGGCTACCAGAAATTCATGGCTACCAGAAATTCATGGCTACCAGAAATTGATGGCCGGCTACCAGAAATTCATGGCTACCAGAAATTCGTGGCTACCAGAATGCTTAACGCGATATTTTTATCTCAAGACAGCATCTTTTTAATTTAAAACCTCTAAATTAATTGTATAAATCCATGAATTAAGAAAAAAACCCTCATTGTTGCTAACTTAGAAGTTGTCGGCTAGTGCTGTGAAAATGCTGGTAACAGCTGGCAGCTATTTTAAACCCTGGTAACCATTTCTTGATAAATGGCATTACCTTTTTCGTGCGTAAACATGTGCAATAGAAGTGCGCGACTAGAAAGGAACCTTTTGCATGCACACAATTAACTTACCAATTTGGCTTCGGCTATAGTACACTTTGATTTCATATCTGCTCTTCGCAATCGAGCCAACAGGTTTTTCAATCAGTGTTTCTGGTTTGCCTTGCAAAGACTTGTGTATCTTATAAACATGTCCAGATTGCCAGTCATCCCAATATATATTTCTATCATCCACAGCAATGGAATATGGATGTAGCAGGATAGTTTGCCATTGAGGATTACTATGATCCGACCTACTAGCGACAACCTGGAGGTAAAAAGAGTGGTATTTTAGTTGCTACGTATAATTTCGTTCAGGTGCGATATGACCCGCGGTAACGTACCACAGAGCTCTTGAAAGTAACGTTGAAATAAAATGTCGTGGTTTTAGTTGGAACTACATGAATTACGTCAACGTTTCGGGCGAAGGTCTCGCAAGTCATTGTCGGTCTCAGGCAATTCCGACCAAAACCACGAATGTACATTGTAGAATAGTATGTACTGGAAGAGGAATCGCCTTGCCCAGCATGGTGTCTGCCAAAACATTCTGTGTTTGAACATTTACCTTCTGAGTACGAGTTTGCATGTTGTACGAGCCAATGATATCGTGGAATGCATCTGTGTAGTAGAGCATTCGGAGTGTTGGTTTATAAATATCGATCGCGAGACCATTTGGCCATTTAATGCCAGAGTTTATTAAGACACTTCTGTTTTTACCATCCATATCAGACATTTCTATCTTGGCAATATCGCCCCAGTCAGACCAAAACATCTCCCTGAAAGTATAAAACAAGAATAAAGACAAGTCGTGCATGGAATCTTCAATCAGTCGACAGTGAGTTTATCAAAATGTAAAAAATTCACCGTTGATTAGAGTTCAGTATGAATTTAAAGCTTCTTTTACTTATTTATTGTTATTTGAGAAGTATATGGACAAAATGAAGTGTGAGGACCACCCTTTATATTTAAACAAAAAAGAGTTGTTTACGATCGTCACTTTAACTTAAGGAAGAACAATTTGATCTATTTTTAAAATGACATTACTGTTTGTAAGACAAAGAGAGCGCAATCCTTTTTTTCGCTGGGGTACCTGTGCCCGGGCGAGTATTGGTTTCGGCTCGCATTTTTCGCGGATCGGTAATCTCCAATCGTCGTCGATAACCACAAAATAGAATATCAATGAGCTGCCTAATTTCTCCCAAAATTATCCATAGGAATCCATAGGGCTTCTGCCAATTTTTACCCGAATTCTCCATCAATAACCCTAATTTTTGAGGAAAATTCAAGAATTTTACTAAAAAAACACTAAAAAATGGCAAGCTGCTATTTCTTTAAACCGCTTTTTGAATGGCATTGTGGATTCAACGCTTATAGCGCGAATAAATCCTGTTACGGTCAAAAGAATATCTTAAAGCTCGACAAAGACAGAAATACGAAGATAGCGATGCACAGCAACTAATCTCGTTCCCCAAGCATGTTTGTTCGCAGGTTAAGGGTGGGCATAGCTCTGGAAAAATCGAATTGATTCAGGCCTGTGATTGGCTAGCGGCAGATAGTACGTTAAATCTAATACACTAAAATCGATTGAAAACGAACTAAAAATCCTGGGGGAAATATGTACGAAAGCTTCGGATTGATAGGGATACAACTGCACACGTAAAAATCTCGCAACTTGAAAACTTCAAAATCATTCAATAAATTTAATAAAAAATTTGGTTCAATAAATTTAATAAAAAAATTTGGAAACAATTCTTGTATATGCATATGGCTCCCATCCCTGTCAGGTGTTTGAGTAGACATTTCATTGAAGCCTTCAGAAAATAATTATGGCAACAAGGTGCCACACTGCGGAGTTGGGCAATTTTTGAAAAGACCTCGAGGGCACAAAAGGTATAAATGTAGGGGCAAGGGAACAAAATAGTGAAATTTTGAGATTTTGGGGGCAGGTTTTTTACGAAGGGGTGTTAAACCTTTTCTCTAAAAAATCTCTGAGCCGTCTCTGACAAACTGCAATTTTCATGGATATTAAAAATACTCATTAACTCACTAACAGGGCTGCAAATTACTGTCGGACATCGGACAATGTCCGACTAAATTTGGCAAATGTCTGAGCAAAAGTAATTTTGCTCGGACATTGGTCAGATCACAAAAAAAAATTGTCATTTTTTGCTGTGACAAAATCCGATTGCAAATTCACTCAATTTGCATTTTGCAATAAAATTTACGAGGCATTCTAACATTTTACTTAACGTTGCGCCGGAATGGCTATACATACTTGTCTCGTGATATATATATATATATATATATATATATATATATATATATATATATATATATATATATATATATATATATATATATATATATATATATATATATATATATATATATATATATATATATATATATATATATCTTGTGACGTATATATGTCCGACCAAATTTAGTGGTGTTGGTTTTTGTCCGACCAAATTCAAGTTATGTCCGACCAAAATTAAAAGTGATCGGACAAATGTCCTGTCAAGTCAAATATTTATTTGCAGCCCTGCACTAACATTAAATAGTGCTGAATAAATGCTGAAACTGATGTTTGGCTAAATACCCTTGCAGTTCAAGACCTTGAGGTTTATCAGCATTTAGCTTTGTCAACTTCTAAGGTGCTGATTACATGGTGCCGAGCTGGCCCGGTTAACCGGGCTGACTCGTCTGTTTAGGACCTTACTGTGGTTTTAAAACTCGCGTAAAATAAATTTGCGATAAATAATTGGTTTAGTATAGATGCAAAATCATCCTAAACCCGATTTAAAACTCATTTTGCGGCCCAAGGAAGATTTTCGTGACATTTTTCAGCCCGGTTAACCGGGCTGGCCCGGTCCATGTAATCAGCCCCTAAGAGTCTGAGAATTATAGGCCATAGCCCATAGTCTGGCCATGTGTTTCTAAATATTTAAAATACAAATTCAGCAAACCATAATATACAAATAGCCTTCGAAAATATATCTTACAGCTATTATTGTAACAAATTATTACAGGCAACCGCATTGCGATATTTGCAAGAGTGTTTGATTAAAAACTCGTGGGAATCTGCTAAATTGTACTGAACAATACGGTACAGTAAAATATTTCTAGACATTTTCAAATTCATACTGTACCTTTTACTTGGTGGAAATCATCACAAATAGTACAAGAAACAGATTAACTCTTCTTTCAAGGCATTTGCTTTGTTACAACATAATTTGTCTATAACATAATTTTTCGATTTTGAAATTTATTGCACTTTCCCGCCTTTTTGGTTTCCGCAAAAAACCCGACGATTTCCGACCTCCCGACGATATACGAGATGTCCTGGCTACTTGCGGAACACACATCGCGTTAAAAAAACCGTTGTTTCATCCCTTTATTCTTTTCCCTCCCTCGCCCAATGCCTGCGTGTCTTCCTATGACGTCATCATCTTCTGCGCCCGCGCTCCAAGCTCTGCGGTACATGGTGTAAAGTCAATTATATTGTATTGCTTGTCAAATTTATTTTTTATGCAGCGATATGCCGATATTTTCATACTAAGTCTAAGTTGCAGTGATATTATTGCTGCCGAGCGTAGCTCGGCAGCACACTAATCTCTACACGTGGTGTGCTTACCACGTGACCGCCGAGTTTATAGCCGCCACAATCTCGATTTATGTCATTCTATCATTCATATCATGTCATTCTAGCTGTTTTGATATTATTTTTTTGTTCCCGGGGGGGGGGGGGGGGG